CCTCCGCCGTTCCTCCTCTCAGAATGTATTGTGACATAAATTGGAACGTTATTTGTGAACGCTCTTCTTGGGCGGCTTTGTTTTTTTTGGTCTACTAGACTTATGTATATGATTTCAAGGGGGGACGAAAAATGGTGTAATTTTTTGTGTGATAGCACGACAAACGAGTTTGCGGATAACTCCGGTTACCTCATTTACACGGCGAAACACAATGCTTTGGTGTTATGAAGTCGTGTTACCACTCCGGTCAAGTGCAACCTATTCGTGCCGCAGCATGGTTCTCCCACACTTAATCTTTAGAGTTCCATACCCGGAGTAATAACGGGAACCCTTTACCTAAAAGTCTGGTACCAGTTACCTACTACCTTTCTGTTGGCCTATAACCACGTTGTATCTCACGAACCGTTGGTAATAGGTTGAGAGTAAAAATTTGAATACACATATAGAAATTAATATGTATACCATGTAGTGGTAGGCCGAAGATTGAGGTGCCAGCTTCTCATAAAGTCGGATTCGGGTTCAGTCAAACTGGCAAGTATCAATGTGATTTTTTCCGAGTCAATGTGTACTTTGAAGTTAATGAGTAAATAAACAACATATGGAAACCTGGACTTGATGACTGAAGACGCCAATCCGCCTTGTGTAGGCGTGGTGCTTAATGCTCAAACCTTCTTTGCACATAGGTCTCCCTAATTGCGCTCCACTGAGCTTGATGTTCAGCTCTTCTCATCTAACCACTGCTAGCCACCCTGCGGAGACCATAAGTTAAAATAGTTGAAGAATGCATCTTAAAAAAAAACTTTGCACCAAATCTGTGGTTGTGTTTACGAACATAGAATTTCACATATACGTCACACCCAGACTCGGAACAATAATTTCTGGATCACACAAATAGTTGTTCCGTGCGAAAATTGAACCCGCGACACGTTGCGTGACAGCCAGTTGACCAAGCATCGCGCCAACCGTGTAATCAATTTGTCTAGACGTGGCATCCATTCCATTCTGGCTAAATACTGGCACTTAGAAATCACGTAAGGCTGATTTTTCAATACTTAGATAAAATTTCCCAGGGAAATAATTATGATGCTGTCGCGTCAGAATGTTTAGTATAAGACAGTGACAGCGTTATTTTTATTCCTCAGATAACATTTATCTGACTATTAAAAAATCTGCTCTTAATCAACCAAAAAAATAATTGTTTAACGCACATTTTAGACACCCCTATTCCCTGAACCCAAAAATCTCTGTACAAAGCCGTATCATAATATCAATATACCGTTTCAACCGTACAATATCAGGGTCCCATGTGCGACCGGCCTCAAGGGAGCAATCCCGTCTATATTGATTTTATATTGCTCACATATTGTGGCCTTACTGTGGTGTGATTCGGGATTTCTAATATGTATATATTTGTATAGACTGGGCGTTGTTTTTGGCTTTAGTTTTTTCTAAAAATGCTTTTGTGAATTGACTGTAGATAAGGTTATTTAAAATGTAGTGGATATATGGCATGAGTGGAAGAGCCAAGCTTCGGTATGAATGGGCCGGCTTGACTGGACTGATACCAAGGCCTTGAAGAAAACCGGTGTAAAACTACCCCAGAATTGTGTTTCGCCGTGTGAGTGAGGTTACCGGAGGACCAATTCTCCCTTCCTTCCCTCCATCTTCGATCCTTAAATCCCTAATAACCAAGAAGAGTCCGGCAAAGCACTTGTAGTAACTCCTGTGGCACTATGGAATCCATGGGCCGACTTATAACATAAAAAAGGCATCTAATCTAGATTTCACCATCATGATTCTTTGTCCATAAGTATCCCATTGCTGAGAATCCTATGATAAGGCACTTCATCATTTTAAGGCACTTTTGAATGACTTAGACTTACCTTCAAGAACAATAAAAAGTATTTGCCAGGTTTTGATACCGTCTTGTCTTGGGAGTAAAGCATTTTGGGCCACCACGATACACTTCCATTCACTGAAGTCGTAGTACATTCACTGTCTTTTTAATAAAACTATCAAGCAATATTTTTAGCTATTCTTTCTAACTAAATAATAAAGATGTTTTTGAATATTTATTGAGGGGTAATACCATGAAATGGCTTTCTATTCTGGGTGGGGCGAGAGAGGTTCCTTATGCCATGCCTACCTGCATGCTCCATCGTAGGTCGCATTATCGTTTACCACCAAGCGTGATAGCAGCCAAATGTCTGCCCATTACGAAAGAAAAAAAGAGAGAAATAGTGTTTCAGACTCTTTCGTTCCTACTCCTGTTCCGGGCCTGGTCGGTGCATTAATGCACTATTGGGCCCCATGAGTATCTATTGACTCTTAAAGACGCGCGCGGAATATACCTCGCCCTTTTCTTAGACAATTTTAGAGCATTTACATTCTAGTCCTACTTCCTAGCACTTGTAACTTTGGTGTTGCGATTACCTCCTGAAAAAATAAAAATAAAATAAAACAAACCTAATATCAGAACTGACAATTAAATACCACAGATACACAAATAACTAGAGGTGGCAGATTGCATTAGCACACTCCCGCAACACAGAATGTAGTTATGTAGTTACTGCGTGTGTGTGACGTCGCCCCCACGAATTATCTTGTTTGACACAGAGCTGGGAGAGTATGGACGCGGTTAGGGAGTGAGAGAGATAGATATATGTAGTGACTGTTTTATAATGCTTACTGAGTTTGTGGTTGAATTGTTTCATGTAGTTGCTTAGTGGTTTTTGTTTTTGAAAGAAATATGGCAGTCTTTGGGAATATTTGGTCAATTATCAACTAGGTATTACTTTGTCGAGATGTGAATGGACATGGTAATGTAGGTTGGTTATTAACGGTTATCAACATCAAAGACATCATTTATTTTTAATAGATTACTACAAAACTTAGTAAGGCCCTTTTGACCGCCAAACAAAGTCAGTCAGTCTGTCGGTCAGTCCTCTAGGGAAGCTATTTGCTTGTTCTAAACTGTAGTAAGCAATAAACTCCATGATTACTATTGAATTATGTGAGAATATTGTAACTGTATGTGAAAAAAGATTTTGTTTATTATTGGCAGAATAAAATAAATAGAGTTACCTCGCTAATTGATAAATTTGATTCTGTTACAAATTTATCAATTAGTGTGGTAAATAAATAGTCAATCCAATTATATCGTAAAATATTTGGCTCCTTTTTCCTATCCAAAAATATTTGTTGTCCAACCAATCACGACATATGAAAGCAAAATTTTAATGTGTGCATTATCCTTCTGTCACTTCTATTACATGCTTAGCTCTGCAAGTTATACGTGTGGAATGCCCCTAACACTTGGTTTACGTAAATAATGGACATAGTGCACTTCAATTGCATTCCTTCAATTAATTGTAACTACACTCGTATTGTCATCAGTACTAATTGCTAACTCAATTTTTGCTGTGCTGGGGACAATAGGGATGACTGCGATTGGGGCTTAGGATTGTTGGGATTCATAGTTGCTTTCTCAGTTTTCGGGAGTTTTTTGGTTATGTTCCTTTTTTGGCTTGTATATTAGCAGACGAGATTTTTAATGTGGGAGAGCCAAGCTTCGGCACGAGTGGGTCGGGTCCACCGCAGTGATATCACGGCATCACAGAAAACCCGCGTCAAACAGCCAAAGCGTTGTGTTTCGCCATGTGAGTGAGGTTACTGAAGGCCAAACCCTTCCCCTCCCCCAATCCCAAAATCTCCATACCTATGTCTAATCTCTAAAAGGTAGGCAACGTAACTACTCGTAGCTCTTCCGTTGTAGCAGATGTCTATGGGCGGCGCTATCACATAAAAAAAACCCTCAAATGTGGGGGTGTCGAGAAGGATCGTCAGACTACTGACTAAATATCACCCTATTCCACCTCTTGCTTCAAGCCAAAGCTGCGCTGACAGCAGTCCTATCTAGAACCATCTGTGGTAGTCTGTTGGCCGTATGCTTGGTCACCTACAAGGAAAGCAATAATAGCGACCAACTAAATTTATTCTTCTCTACCGACAACAATTCTTAACACTGTCCATAAAGCATTTGTTAAAAGAGAAAGCACCATGTCCATCATGTTCTATCTCCCTTCCCCACTGACCAAATCTTCACACAAATATTTTGATCGATATGCCAACTCCTTTAACATGAACTCCGTACCCTCGAACTCGTTGCAATCAATTTGTGCGAACCTCAATCACTTAATTGATTCGACACATTTGGTCTTAATCTACCCATAATCACATACTTTCAAATAAACATTCTTATCAACATTGTTATAGGGTTCAAATTTGGTAACACTCAGTTCTGCTGTTCAATGTTACCCCTCGTATGAAAATTTAGGAATCTATTAAAATGAAAGGGTGTGATTTGCAATGGTTATTTTATTAGCTTTATCGAGATTAAATATTTGGGGGGCAAACTGATGATATTAAACTATTGTAAGTTCACGCTTTTGTTATGACTGCGTTCGTAGAAATTATTTTATTTACTTAGTCGAGCTTCCTGTGTTTGCTTCTCCGTCGTTCATGAGACGTCCCTGTCGAAAATTTAAGAAACCAAAGTTATTTTATCAACTATTGTTTTTTGAGGTTATATACATGATGAGGTTATGGAGAATAGTCCATTACCGATTCAATATACCTCACTTTCTATTTGAAAAACTTATCTTACTTGGTAATAATACTACTTATTTGATATTTATTTTAATGCTTTTAGGTTTGTTGTAATGGATAACTTTCCGGATCCGTGAAGTAGATTTAAAAAAATGTATATCTACTAATTCAAAGATTCAGAATTGTATTCCTACTTTTTTTATGAGGCGAATATCACCAAAAGACTTCTCTCGCCCAGAGGGAGAGTCAGACTTCCACCTCCTGCTCCAGGCTGGGGCTGCGGTACTTTATCAAATGCTTGCCAAACATTCTATCTAACGTTAAATCTGAATGAGTTATTATTTTTATCTCTTCTAGTTTATTATTTTTAACTTTATTCTTCTTTTCAACAGGTGAAGGCAACGCGTCACCTTTACGATGGTCCCCTCCATCATCAGCTGCCCTAGTAGCGGCTGCCTTGGCTCCACCAGCGTTACGACCCTGGTTACCAGACCCGCCCAGCAAGAAGACCAACCATTTGGGTAAGACAGGTTGGCATCGGTCATCCTCAAATTCAAACCTTTAAAAGATAGAATATATTGATTCATCAAGGCAGCAAGGCATGTTAGGCATTCTCTACGCAGAAGAAGAAGTGGAGGTGTGAGAGAGATAGAGAGGCGGATTTGATGTTAAAATTTTAATGGTTCAGGTTTATTAGAGTAAAATGAAACATCCCCATTAAGTTATATAAGATACTTGTGGCGGAACTGTTTCGCTCATTCCTTTATTAAAATCGAATATGAGAAAAGAACTCATGCTAATAAACATATGTTTTGAACTTTCGATTTTGTTAGCCATTCTACTTCAGTCTCAGTTTGACACTTATCCTCTTCTACAGGTCTGATCTGCGTGGTCTGCGGTGACACAAGCTCAGGGAAACACTACGGCATCCTCGCTTGCAACGGCTGCAGTGGTTTCTTCAAGCGGTCCGTCAGAAGGAAATTGATTTACAGGTTTGTGTCTATCTTCATTTTTAACATTTTGTGTAACACCATGTAAACCGGGGTGGGAAGATTCTGGAACAACGGTTGGTTGTCTCAAAGAAGAGATAGGAGATTTTGAGGTTTGAAAATCATGAAGTGCCTTCTTTCGCCCGCGGTGTTGGCGAGAGAGGGAGTGTCAGACTCTTGCTGAATAAAACCCGTCCCGTTCCTTCTCCTGCTCCAGGCAGGGGCAGCTATATATTATTCTGCTTGACCCCACAACCTCGGCTGAACATCTGTCTGGTTGGGTCCCATCTAACGATGATAATATACTTAATATCCGACTTTTTCTAGCTTTTTTTTTGAGGGGAAAATCATCAAATGACTTCTCCCGCCTAGGGCCGGGCGGGAGGGAGTGTCAGACTCTTACTGACTAAAAATCGCCCTGTTCCTTCTCCTGCTCTGGGCCGAGGTCGCGGTGCCTCATTGCGCTTACCCCGCAACCCCGGCTGAACATCAGCCCTTTAGGGCCCCGTCTGTGGTGGTCTATTGGCGACTTTTATTAGCTAACTTTAAAAAATAAGCTTGTTGTTAAACGTAAAACATTAAGACGTCATATGCTACAACCTCATACAAGATTCGTAGAAAAGTATCGTTTCTGACATTTCAATAAAAGCAATGAATTTGACAACCGAATTATATCGACAATGAAATGACCCAGAACCAAAGCATTATAATTTCTAGAAGCGACAAAAAATGTAAGTCACCAGAAAATTAGATCAGACGCAAACATAACATTAATATTTGAACAATTGTATTAGCTATATTGCAGTATCTGGAACTAAAATGTGAAACTTCTATTTCGTCATATGCTTGTGTTACATTTTCATCTTTATTTACATCTTTGTATACTTGTGCTGGTTTGAGGAAAACTTTGATTGCTCAACTGTGTCGCCGATGAGCAATTGTTTTGTGATGTGTCTTTTAAAGTCTTCATCATCAGTTTTAGCAGAATTTTTGTTTTATGTTTATTTTTCTGATTAATAATTGACTTGTTTTTTTATGTGATAGGTCGGCAAACAAGCATTACCTGATGGTAAGCAATCAGCGCCGTCCATAGACACCCGCAATGCAAAAGGAGATACGAGTGCGTTGCCGACCTTTTGGGGATCAGGTTTCAGAGATTTTGGAATTGTTGAAAGATTGGGCCTCCGGTAACCTCACTCAAATGGCAAAACACAACGCTGTGGTTGTTTCACGCCGGTTTTATGTGAGGCCGTGGTATCACTCTGGTCGAGCCGACCCATTCGTGCCGAAATATGGCTCTCCCACACATAAATTTATATTGCCCCATCCATGTTTTATAATGTTTTAACTATCATTTGTACAAATATGGGGTATGAAGAAGGTAACACTATCAATAATGATATCTCTAAGAGACTAGTCAGGATCGTAAATTTAAAACTCGATTCTGAACCGCCATAAAAAAATAAGACGTTGTGTTTCACCGTGTGATTGAGGTTGCCATCCATCCCCAATCCCTAAATCTCCCAAACTATAATCTTCAAAAAACCGACAAAGCACTCGTCACAACTCCTCCTGCATTGCGGGTGTCCAAGGGCGACACGGTTTGCTTACCATCAGGTAATCCATCTGCTCGATTGCCGACTTATCACATAGGTACATATACCCAATACCATCTTAACTAAGACCAATACGAATGATAAGAGAAAGTGCTACACATGTCACACCTGCGGCACAATTGTTCCAAAGCTGTACCAACAACTAAAAACTACAATATTTGAATGTGAGTCAATATATTATTCTGTCTTATTGACATAACCTCAAACTTATAATTTGGTTCGTATTTGGAACAAAAGAACGTTAAGGCTTGTTTGTGTGTGTCATCATAATACGGTAGTTTCCAACTAGTCAAATTCAATACTTGTATCCAAATGTCAAAAACGATACTTATTTCTATGAAATTTGTATGAAACATTGAGTTATGACGTCATAGTTTGTATTGCGTCAAATCGCTTACTTATTTTTAAAAAAATAGTTAGTAAATATCTTAAATTTAGTGTATCGATCGATCGATGAATAAAAGTATAGTTATTTTCAATATTTTATTGTACTGAAACGTCGAATTAGTTTATTTTTGACTTTGGAAACTACCCAATTGTATATTTTTATCATTTGTGCAAAGAAGTGAAGAAATAGATAAATAAAAATATAAGCTCATAGCGTATCTAATCACCCGATTCGAGTGTACGGAGCGTAGCGTTCTGCGTGCGACTCAAAGAGCCAAAGCCCTATTGGACTCTAAAAAAAGAAAAAACAAAGGTACCGCAGCCTAGGCCCAGAGCAGGAGAAGGAATGGGGTGGATTTTAGTCAGTCAGAGTTCTTCTCGCCTCACCCTGAGCGAGAGAAGTCATTTCATGATTTTCCTACCTCAAGAACAAAAATCTTCTGAGAATTTTGTCTGAATATGGAATCGAAAGTTTACTGAAGCGTATCTGACACAGCAATACAAAATTCAGCGCTTAAAACTAATATAAGCAATAATTAGCTTGAATGCGTATAACAAATAAATGCGATATAAATATTTTTGTTAAAGAAAAACAATCCAAAAAAGTATTAACTGTATGTTTTCTTTTAATCTTTTATTTGAAAAATGTACCAGCTGTATAGAATTCATACAAAAAATAAATAGCAAAAATCAAAACAAACATCGCACACAAGAATTATAATTACAAAATCGCAAATCGCGAACATGTTGGGAGATGAAGAACACAATAGTGCATCTGGGTTGCCACGCCAAAAATTACAATAGAAAGAACAGGGAGATTTGAGCACTTGAACCCACTTAATCCATTACACTGGCAACATTATTCTGTAATTTTTGGTACATCTGAGACCAGAGTTGAGGAGAGAACATTGTGGGGAGCGGAGCGGTGATTGAGAATAGGGTGTCAAATGAAAAACAACATTGATTCGTTATGATTAAGAGTCGATTTTGATTAATTGATCACTTTTAATTATAAGATTTTTTTCGTTTTGTGTTTAAACGAGATATTTGATAAAGGTTTTGATTGTAATAAACACACACAAGATTGGACAGATCACATTATTTTTTGTATTATAGCCGTAGGATATTTGCTAATCTTTTTCGTACGTCATTCATTAGAGTAAGTGAATGATCAGAAACGGATCTTTGTGGCTAACATTATTTAATGATGAAGCTCTTTGATATAAAACCTTTTACATTGATCTTTTATAACCTGTTACATTTATCTTCTAAAAAAAGTTCTTTTATACTTTATTTTCAACAGAAAAATATTATTAAATTCATTATTTCCTACAAAATGAAATGAAATCGCTATCGCTCATGCGCTGTGTCCTCGCCCTAAGACTACGCATCGAGGGGCATTTAAATTCGATGTAAATTTTATTTTGAGTTTTTATTACAAGTGAACTCTGTTTCAATTACATAGCATTACTGCTATGATTTATAAATATTTTGTTTTCAATGACAAATTGAACTTGGTTAGCGATTCCGGTAATAATAAAATCTATTTTGATTCTGTTGTCTGTAAGGATAATTTCTACTATGGGATATTTGTTTTGTTTTTCTGTTAGTACAAATATTTCATTATGTAACCTCATTTTAAATCTTTAGGGCCTGCACTACCGATTGATTAATTTTAAATAACGCTTTGCATAATTTACTATACCAAATTTAAAAAAAAGTATTTGTTTTATTTTAGTTGTTTCAAATTACGTTCCATATTCAAATTTATTAAGTACATAGTGACTATCTTGACATTATAAAGCCTGGCCACTTACAATCATAGCATAAAGCAAATAAAACAAGAAAAATATATAAGCAGATCCAGAAAAAATATCCCTCTATAAAACATCGTAAAGTAAAATCAAACTTAAGATGTAGACCTCAGAATTACACCTAGAATACCAGCGCAAAAAAAGAAACAATAAGAACTTCTCTTTGTGTGATATCCACAAATTGTTGTTCCGGGTCTGGGTGTGATGTGTATTTGAAATTGTATGTTTGTAAACGCACCTACGACACAGGAGGAAACCCTAGTGTGAGGCAAAGTATAAGGCTTGTGTAGTGTATACCTTAAGTGCCCGATCCGCTAAATATCGACAACGTTATCGCTTGTTTGTTGCGCTATCACAAAAAGAAAACTATATTTTATAGAAATAACTATACATAGACAAAAAAATTCGATCGAAAATACAGATAACATTAAAAGCTGTTTAACATTTGGCTCCCCTCTTAAGTGGCGATTCAATTAATTCGCTACCCGTCCTAATGTTATTAACCCCACCCTTATGATGGATGGTCAAGTGTGACATGTGTACCAGCTTTATGATTCGCAAATTGATTTTCTGAAGATTCTTTTGTATTGATGAATGATTTTTTATAGGATCTCATCAGTCTGCTGATGGGTATAAAATTGTCTGGTTGATGTGATTTGCCTACAGTACATTCGGTAAAAACCGACAATTTTGTTTTACTCTGTATTTATTTTAATAAGATATTTTTACCAAATATCTATTATGCCTTGCATGCTTGCAAGCATGTGTTTTTATTGTAAAATATTGATTGTAACAGTTTTACGTGCTAAAACTTCTTCCAACCTGATTGGAACTGGAGCATCAACAAACTTTACATCATTACTTTGATATTTAAATTGTAGAATACAAATACAAAAACAATACTGTTGAACTGCAAATATGCCTTTGCTAAAGCGTTCAACTACTAAACACTCATAATATTTGCCAAAATTTGCTCAAATCACTAAAAAATATAATACTTCACTTTTATTTAAATATTTTTCTCTATACATAACATCAAAAAACCCAGCCACCTTGCGTTCAAACCACTACTGTAACTCAAAAACCAAAGAGGCGTGTAACAGGGTTCCATTTTGGGACCAGTCCTTTTCATATGGAATTGCAACAAATGTCAACATAGCCGTAAGCCTATTACAAATGGGATTATCGGTAATGAAATATCTTTAATCTGTATTAGTTTCTGTGGTAGCAGATTTTTGTGGGGTATAGAGGTTAAGTTGTATTAGAAGGTTGAGGGTCTGCCAATCTTAAGGTTCTGCGTCAGTAATTGTTTTTGGGACCAAATAATTGACAGTTATTAAGTCTTGTATTTGTATTCCTCGAAATTTTAAATATGAGTAATGTGAATATTACTGAGCTTTCTCCTAAGTGGTTAGATAATTTTAGATTTCCTATTTTTTCAAGGATAAGGTACAGAGTCAGAAAACTCCTGACTAACAAAGTTGGTCTTATTGAATTTTTAGTTTTGATAAATAGTTCTTTTTTAAAACCGACTGTTGCCTTAAGATAAACGTATCTGTAAAAGGGCTTAGGGAAATTGGACCATCTTTAAATAAACCACTTTAAATTTATTTTCGGATATCCTCTGACGCTTGAAAAGGTTCATACGACCTTACTATGCTAAATGGACATGGCAATTTATTCTCAATTTGTCGACAGATGTCAAGCAGGCACCGGTCGCTGTGTCGTGGACAAAGCTCATAGAAACCAGTGCCAAGCTTGCAGATTGAAGAAATGTCTCGCGATGGGAATGAATAAAGATGGTGAGTTTGTTATTTTTTCTATATCTTGCTACTTGGTTCGACGATCGAGAAAGGAGTATTGGATTTGAGGGCAAAATTACCCTCAAATCCAATACTGGACCTCAAATCAAATCCAATACGGACCAGGATAAAAACGTATGCGACAATCCAGGGTATCACTTATCTTCATACAACCAAATCGGTCGTTCAGTCGGAAAAATTTCAACCAAATCGGTCCATCTGTTTAAACGTGAAAGAAATACATCCAAACATTCTCACAAACTTTCACTTTTTTAATATAAGTAGGATCTGTTTCTATTTCAAAAGTGTTTCTTATTTGTAGCATGGTAGATTTACTTTCTATTACTTACTTTATTTAACGTTTTCTTAGTCTGATAATCAGATTTGAGAAAGACCTCTTTAGTTCTAGGTCTTTAATAAAAACAAAGGTTTTCTTTCATACTTCTTTTAAGGTTCTGTGTTAACATATTTTGCGTCCCTGAAAAACCTACTAGATTCATCATCATTATCAGCAACTGACGTATTTTCTAGAATACTTTCACAGTTTAAATTCAAACCACGGCTATTAATAGCGCAGTAGTTGACGCAAATGATATACCTGTGTCGTAAAAATAACTAGGTAAACCACTCTACGTGTGAGTAAATAGACCTAAATTTAGCTCTATCGCATTAACTCTAAACCATTAAGGAGGCGCTTAAATGAAGTGATCACTCACACCTAACTGAACATTGATCCTTCGAACAACTCTATATATACATACACAAACAACTTATGTACATAATTGAGTGCAAGTAACAACTTGTCAAAATTGGAACTTTTTCGAATTTATCAACGTCATTTTTGATGTAACGTCATGTTTTGTTTTCAACTGAAATATGTGTAGCACTCTTATTTGTTTAAACAGACCTGAAATACATATTGTATCAATTTAGTTTTGACTTTGTCCAGTTCCCAAAACCATTATCATTTTAATAACATCAACAGCCAACCGTACTTTTAGGAGAGCAATGTTTCGGCAAGTATGGGCCAGTGTATGGGCCGGCTCGACCGGAATGATCACGGTCTCTCAGAAGCATGTTTGTGAATTACCGGAGAAACAATCAATTCCTTTTATATAAGGGGATTGTCCTTACCTAGCCTTAAAACTCTTTGGTTGCGGGTTAAAGTCAAAATCATTTATTCCAAAAAATGTGCGGGTGTCTAAGTGTGGCACAGATTAATCATATCGTGATCTTGTGAATGTATGATGACAGTGATCATATGAATTTTTTATAGGAACATAAGCCTTTTGATTATCATTCGTCTTGTGTTTGATTGCCTTAAATGTTCCTGTACCTAAGAGATCTTGACAGAAGAACATAGAAGATAAAAATTAGCAAAAACAGTCATCATACAATTCTACCAAAAATGCATGGACCAAGTGATGATGATGAACTACCATTTCCCACACTTTAAATCAAATCCAATATTTGCCTACGAAGATTATACACGGACAGAACAATATTCCCACGTCTGAACAAGTCTAAACATGTCATAACATTTCATAGTACTATAAAAAGCTAACAGATCTGTTGTACGCGCCCTGTCGCACGCATTCAAGTCAATTAACCGTGAACATATTCATATAGACAAGCCACCCCCTGATTTCATTGTCAGTGGATATGAAATCTTATATCTGGTGAATTAGGGTTACATCTACCATGTGTTGATTTTGCAAATAATTTGTTGCGTTTTAGGTATATGGTTTATTTTTGTTAAGCAATTATTTTAAGATGATTATTTTTGAGTGTTTGAACGAAAACTTTTTTTGTAGCTTCTTGGGCTTCAAAAAATCCACCGTTATCAAATAAAACTACTTGAACGTACTCCCATTTCATTACCATGTACTGTCAAATAGTAAAAACGTTGTTATGGTTAGCTCATTGGATTCCCCGTGTTGCTAGATCTGATCTGAGAAACTACTCTTATAAAATATGCCATTTCAAAAAAACAGTATTATGTAAAAGACCCTACATGATGAACATAAACTGAACACAGTCGCCCAAGCCATGCATTTCTAACTTCGTAAAGGAAAAGTATAATGATGACACTTTAACAGACCCGAAAATCTTAAAAAACACTTCAATAACCACCAAAAAATATACAACAAAAAATACCCAACCGAAACTTAAACAGCAAGAGATAGAAGGGTTGAGGATAATAGAGACGGTCTTTTAGACCACGTGGCGGCACGTGGCGACACTACGGCGTATACAAATTATGGCTTAGCAGTTAAAAGTATAGTTTTTATTGTACAAACTAAGTCGTGCATACGTTTGTTAGTTTAGGACTTGATTGGTTCCAGAAGAATGGATGTGGTGTAAAAATTTAAATGCTAGCAATGGGTTTGGTAAAGGATTTTTAAGGGAAAGGTGATTAGGAAGGATTAAGGGTAAAGAAGGTGATGGTAAAAAAGTTGTTTTTCAACTCAGTATCTTTGAACTATTTTTGGTTAGGTCTAAGACAATATTTAGAACCGTGAACTTAGACATTAGAACTTCTTTGTCCATTGAATAGGTTGGTCTGCTTTTCAAGCCTTTGGTTATCACTTATAGGTGAGAAATTGTTATAGTGTTCTGTTGATTTTTTTATACGTAGAACACCATTATCTTTCTTCTCTTGTCATGGGTGGGGTGAGAAAGCATAGTCAGACTCTTATTGACTTAATAACATACGTTAATACCAACCAGGTCTCTCCTGATGAGTACCGGGGTCGCTCTACATCATTGGGCTTGCACTCGCAACCTCGGTTGGGGCGTTCTGATCTTTGGGTACCAGAGTAATAATACAATATCTCTCGATACAAGCCAAGTCAAGCTAAGTCTGTCTTGGATTCGATGATAGCTTTGCGTAATTTCTTTTTAGCAAAAATTAATTTTGTGCTAATTAAAAATATTGAGTAACTACCTAAAATTAATTATAGTCTAAAATAAATTCATATTAGACAATTTCCAAATCATCGTCAAACATAGTATTTAGTTCTCTTAACCCTACAACTCGCTCCTACATCAACAAATTGCTTACTTAACCTCCAAATTCTGTAAGCAATTTAGTTCACACATTATTACAACCCTTTGCCCCGAAGCGATATGTGCTATTGTTGTATCTGCAACTTGTTAGAACACAATAGGTTCTGTCGCTTACTTTTGTATCGTGTTATTAGGGAAAGTGACATGTAATGCCTTTTACAATATTATCGCTGTCATGTCCAGAGAATTGATGTTATTAGGTAATTGTTTGGTGTAGATGTGTGATGTTTCATAGTGATTTATGATTTGTTTTATCTTATTGGGTTGATTTATCTTTATATTATTTTATGTGTCAGAAAATTTTTATTTTGTAAAACAGCACATTATGTAGAATCTAACTAAAATAAATCTGAAAAAACATTTTAAAACTAAAAATTTAATAATAAAGCTTCCCAAAACGAATGAGGTCGTTTTAAGACTTAACACAATTATTAAGTAATATCACTACATTGTCGAAATCGAGAATAATAATGATGACATTGAGTTACGCGCCAATAACAAAAAAAACAGCAAGGGTGACTAGCGCTTGAAATTTAAATAAACTATCCCATCACATAAAGACCACAAAGGAACAAATGCAAAACATTCACACAGTAACAATAACGGCCACAAAACTAAAGCAGAAAATCAGAACCATTCACAAATCACGTAATGCCCTAAAGCTGAATCTAATAAGGCGAAACTCAGTACCTACACACCCACATTTTAATGAGTGGGAATCCGCAAAACAGATAATTAAGGAAAAACTACAAAGCGATTGCCCTCGGGCGTCCAAACTCGCATTCAAATGAGCACCCTTCGTTATAAAGTGGGATGTTTAACCGCGTGAAATGCAACATTTAATAATTTGGATATGCATTTTAGTTTGGTCTAGTCATTAGTGTAAATTTGTGGATAAAGCACTGTTGAATGAATTTATTTAAGTGTTTTGTTTGATGTCATTATACATATACATTGACAAGAAAAGTAATTCATAGGTGAGGTTGCTTATTGCTTATGTATGAATCAAATTAATGGAACCCAATCAGGATCCACAGTTCCACAAAACCACACGAGATTGAAAATGTCAAAGAGTAACTGATACAATCAAATTTTTCTTTCATTCCCAGATCTGCATGGATACTACACAAGATACAGTTCGTATAAAATATACTATATCTATATTTAATTCAAATAGATGCATAGATAGAATCCGCAATTATTGTATTGCCATCCCAATTAAGTTTAAACAATGTTCTCTCAATAAAACTTTGAAATTAAACCAACACTCATTAATTAAATCATGCCGTGGAACACTGAGAGGCTTTTGACAAGGTGAACCTAACACACCATCCGAAAATAATTAGATTGTCGCGTCGACATCTCAAAGCGTAACGAAATTACACTTTCCTTTTCATACTGGGGGTCCCAAAGACCAAAATAATACAAAGCTTAAAGTGATAAAAGCGTCCCCGTCTGGCGTGCCGCAGGGTACAACGCCGGGCCCTCGTTACTACCTTTATCTTTTTGACACTTTCTTTTCTCGCGCAAATTGGATCACATTTTCATTGTTCGTTGTTCATGCGTTATGGTAATTTTGTAATGGATGTTTCTGGCTTTTATTAAGTTTATGTTCAAGAGTTTTGATTGATTTTGTTTTGCTAATTTCGTTTTGACTTTTCTTTAGGATTTAATTCTTGTTTTGTAAATTTTTGTGATTGCGGAAGTAAGGGTATTTATAAAAAAGTTTGTTCGAAGCATAACATAACAAATATGTTACTTATGAGTATGAAAATAAATGTAATATTTTGCTCACAACCTTCAAAGTTTTTGAAAAGTAGATAGGTAAAACTTTATTTCACACTAAGAATAAAAATTGTACAAAGAAATATCATTAAAGCATTTGTTGAACTGGTAAAAAAAAGAAATTAATTATAATCTATAATAGACGC